TGCACAATCTATATTTAATATTCCATTGGATAGATTTCTTTGTTTTTCTAGATATGCTAGTGGTATATTTTACTTGATGATAACTATAATCATTTCCGTATATAAATTCTCTGAAACTTCTTTCTATAAAATTATTTTGTGAACTATATGCTTCATTATTATTTGTTCTAGGTCGCTTTGGTGATAATGTGATGGTGTATGAGGTTTTTGATTAGTCATATTAAATGTTGGTTGATGTTCATCTTCACTATCTGTTCCCTAGATTATACATTGTTTATCCTCATCATCTATTTTTGTCATTCTAGTTTCTTCAATATTACATTTTTCTAATTATTGGGTTAATCTATCTATGTTATCCATTAGAACTTGTTGGCGGTTCTATTTGAATTAGTTTAAATAATTTTTTTGTGTTATTTATTTTTTGTACTAAATCTTGTAATTCTTTTACTGATTCTTTTATTTCTTCTAATTTATCTAATATTTCTAATTGGATTTTATTTATTATTTTTATAAATGTTCCTATTTGTTCTGAAATTCTCTGTGGATCACTCATAATTTTTTTTTATTTTTCTTTAATAATTATTTGTCCTTTGTTAATTTTAATAGTATTTTTAAATGAAGTTTTTATTTTAATTTTGCCTATAGCAAAATTGAGTGTGGGAGTAGCAAAGAATTGTCACATGTTTCATTGGCCCTTGAAAAAAATGGGCACCACCCGCTCGGGGTGGCATCGACTAAAACATCAAATCCCAAATCTTGGTGATTGCATTATTATTCATACTTTCATGGTAATAGCTTCCTAGATACAATACCTATAATCACCCATGATGAAGACTAATGAACAAATATCATACTTTCTACATATAGAAATGGGAAAGGGTGTCACTAAATATCGTCCCCCTATTACTACTTACCTCCAAAAGACAGTTTTACCCTTCTCAATTTAAAAATATTTTTTTTAGGTCGGTCGGCCTCTAATCGCGGCCGGCTACCGCACAGCCGGCCTCTGGCCTGTGGCCGCTCCCACTAGGCGGCCGCCATAGCCGGCCAGCCACTCTAAAGGCCGCCTTCTTCTGCGGCCGACCGCTCCCTAGCCGATTTTTTTTTAATAAATAATATAATTTATATATGTTTAAATACTTAAAAAATATATAATTTATTATTATTATTATTAAATATGTTACTTAATAATAAATATGCTATTTGTAATTAATATATTATATATATATTAGTGAAATTATAATTAGTATTGTAATATAAGTTGAAAAATTTGTATAATTTTTTAGTTAATTAGTTTGTATAATATATAATAAAAAAATATAATTTTACAAATTAATATATTAATTACATTTTTATATTAAAAGATTATATATTTTATAATATATTATGTATATTATATATAATATAATGATAATTATAATTATATTAAGTGTAATATATTTTACTTATACTAATATATTATATTAGTTATAATTATAACTAATATATATAATTAAGTAAATAACATATTTAATATATGATAATAAATTATATATTTTTCAAAATATTTAAACATATATAAATTATATCATTTATTAAAAAAAAAAAACGCCGGATCGGCCGGCCGCCGGAGTGGCCGGCCGGGAATGGCGACCGCATAGCAAAAAAAACTTTTTATTTAAGTAATAAGGAAAAATTCTGTTTTGAAGGGGCGGTAAGTAGTAATTCAGAACGGGAAAATGAATAAAATGGAAAAGAATTTCGAGCTAATCTTGAACTTCAAAAATAAAAATAAAATTGTCTTCCTTCGGAAGAAAGAAAAATTTGATGATGTGCGCGCATTAAATTTCCAATTGATATTAAAATCGCATCACATACCAAGCACTTTTCACACCCACAATTAAGATGCATAAGACGTATTTTATTATTAGCAAAAATATTCGAATTTTTAAAAATTGAAACGAAGTAGGATAATAATTTATTAATTCTCACTATATAATGAATTGACATTGACGTCTAATCTATTGTGTTGTATACTTTTCGGAGTGTCTGTCTCCCTATGCTAATAATAATAATATACATGAATGAACTAGTTAAACCTTGCCTTGACTCTTGAGTGTTATTTATCGTGTGATTGATTGGGTGACGGGATAAACACCAAGGATTCCAAGCGATCAGCAGCCAACAGAGTAACAACAATCAATAATACATTGCATTATTTTCTCCAAATCTTTTTGCCTTTTTCTGGGTTTTTCTTCTATTTTTAACACGGCGTAAAAAGGCAAAGGAAAAGACGAAGATACTTCTTCCTTTATGGTAGGAAAATCACAAGGGAAGAATTATTTTTTTTGTTTTTCGATGACCCTTCTGCCTAATTCTTCAGTTTTTCTCTTCAAAGGGCACTCGCAATCGCAGAAAAATTGAATCTTTTTTTTTTTTTTGGTTAATTGTAGTTGTTTTGAAGCATAATGGCGCGATCGTTTGGGTATTCTTGAAAAGCTCAAGTGTTGATAGTGAAGTTGGTTTGGGTTACCCACTTGAAGTGATAATCTCTCTGTTTTCTTGGTAATATACCCTCTCTTTCTCCCTGTCAAATTTGTTATTTATATGTAGTTTGTGTGTACTTCCGTAGGTTTTAGTAGCGCACTATGTTTGTCCCTTCGGGGACATCCGATAAAATTAGAACGATACAGAGAAGAATATGGAGCTTGGAAGAGTCATTGTTGACAATTCTCCTAGCATAGTGCTAAGAATGGACTAGATCAAATTGGCTCAATTAAATTCTAGTGCTTCTTCTATTAGTGAAGTTTCTAGAAAAAATATATCAAACGACGCAACGCACCTTGGGTCGCTATGGAAACAGTCTCCTTGTATAATTACAAGGATAAAGTCTGCGTACAACTGACCCCCAGACCCCAACCTGTTGGGAATATACTGGGTATGGTATGTTGATGTTGATGTTGATGTTGAACAGAGAAGATTAGCATGGCCCTGTGTAAGGATGACACGCATACATTGAGAAATAGTAGCGCACTATGTTTTTTGAGATTTGTCTTGACGAACATCTTTACACTGTGCCCTGCTCCTTGTGATAGATGTATCACTTTTTTCTGTTGTCTGTCTGTGTGTGAAGTGTGTGTGTGTGTGTGTGTGTGTGTTTGTGGCCAGTGTATTAACTACTAAGGCAGTGGTTGATTAGGAGTCACTTTGTAATAAAATTGTTGCCTGTGAATTTGGCTAAGTGAATTAGTACTTATACACTCTATACTGTTTATATGATCAACTAGGGGTTTTAAAATTGATCACTACAACT